CTCTCTCTCTCTCTCACACACACACACACACACACACACAACCAATCAAACCTTTTTTTTTTCAAGTTTTTTGTTTATTTATTTTTAAATTTTGTATCTTTATTTTTCTAAAACACCTCCTACCCCTGCAAAAAACAGAAATTCATTTCCAAAAAATACAGGTGACCTCAGAGACCATATATCTGATGATAAAAAATGACAAAAAAAAAATCCAACTTTTATATATATTTTTTAACTTTTTTAAAATTGAATTTAGTTTTTGATTTTTAAAAAATCCGAAACAAAGTCGGATTCCAAAAAAACAAATATGGGGTTGTAGGGCTGAAAATTCCCTACAACCCTATATATATATATATCCATATATATATATATATATATATATATCATCACAAATAGAACTGCCCGGTAAATCGTAGGCTATATATATATATATATTTTTAGGCTATTATTTAATTCAGGAAAATTCTGGTAAAATCGGGTCCGCGTCGCGGACCAGGTAGGCAGCGGATTCGGACCCGTCTGCGTCCGCCATCCGAGATTGGACCGCGGACGCATAGGCTTGTAGCCTGGTAGTTCTCCTCGTGTGGTTCATCCTGCTCCTCCACACATAGTTCGACCTCTATCTTGTGCACAGTGAGAGTTTTTCCTGCCCCTCTAAAGATCTCCTCTCGGCCATCTAGGATTGCGGCCATGATCCCTCGTCTTACCTCCTTCGTCCGTTGTGGAGGAATGTTCCGTGCGTTCAGAAGAAAATAAGGAGCCCCCAGTTCGGATAACCTGCATTGTACAATCTGCGTAGGCGCAGATGCTACCATTCGAGCGAGCATACTCTCGATGGTTGTGAAGCACGTCGCCTATTGTCTGTTTTTTCATCCAAACAACGCGTACGTGTCTTCGTACAATAGCAGTGATCTCTTCACTCATCTCGAAATCACTGATCTTCTCCTTCACCACATCACCGACCTTCCTCCTATCCACTCTGTCGTCGTAAGGAATCTTAACAGTCTGCCTCTTCCTTATATTGATTCCTAGTTTCTCATTTAGGATACGAGAGATTGTAACCCGCATCCGTTGCCTACTTCTCTTGTCAAATCCCCTAGTTGCTTGGTACATGTACGTCAGCTCGTGGCTCTCTTTCTTCCATAGCCTCTTTCTTGTCCATGGTTGGTTGAGTAGCAGAAGCAGTTCTCTTCTAATCTAAGAGGGGAAGGTAATTGTCTCGACCGGATCCTTGATGGTTATCCCTCCCCCTCGTTCGATCAACTTCTTTCCCTCCTTCAGAAGGCAGGTGGTACCCCTGGCCTCAATCGTTGTGAGTCCGAATCTCCGTTTCAGCACTTTCAAGTCCTCACACCAAATGTCCCCGCGACAGGTAATGCGCACGTCTTTCTTCCCGCCTCTGATTGTCAGTTCTAGGCTATCTGTTAGCCTCGTGGTCGATGTTCCCACGACGTCTTCAAAACGTAGAATGCTTCCTTTTCTCTCTCTCGTGCAGCTTCTCCCCTTCCGTTCTCTCTTTCCCTCCTCTTCTTCCTGCATTTCGGTCTGGGTATTTTATTCGCCAGACAGTTCAGCGTCAGGGACCATCTCTTGATCAGACATCTCTCTATCCTCGTCAGATCGTCGTCATTCTCAACCGCTGTGAGTGGTATCGCCACGTACTTTTCCGTGCCGAATTTCCTAAGCCATCTATACAGCGATTGGCTCTTGCTCTCTTTCCCTCTGCAACATGTCACATGTTCCTTCCATCTGCAGCTAAGTTCACGACTAGTCTTTCCGATATATATCTTTCGGCATTTCGCCGAGATCAACGCGTAGACACATCTCGATGGGTTCTCCCAATCGATACCTCCCTTCTCCCATAGATCCATGAACTTGTTTGCCCAAGGTGTAGCCCCCCGCATCGTGAGGATCACAATCACGGTTCTAAGAGCAGCATCTATCGAGTTCGCTACGGCTCTATTTTGGCTAACCGTCCTCCTATATTCCACCAACGAGTCCCATGACGCCCAAGCTCGGTCGAGGTCTAAGTGTCAGTTAGTCTCTAGATCGGGCTCCCTATCTGAGCTCACCTCCGGATTCGGATCGACGACAGATCCTGCGTTTCCCCGCAGAATCTTCTCTTGCATCTTGTTTGATATCAGTGACTTAGTTGCCTTCTCCCTCGTGACGTATTCCACATTTTCCTCCCCGCAGAGACATTGCAGTTCCGCCATTGATTTGGTTCCGAGATAGCTTCGCATGTTCATGCATAAACCCACGACGTTGTTCCCTGCGCCGTTCCTCGTGATATCTCGCCAGCCCGCGAGCAGTGTCTCGTTATTGATAATCGGATTCTTCTTATGTGATCTGGTCGTCATCGCCGTCCGCGGAGTAGATGGCTCTTCAATATGTATCCCCATGTTCGGTTGCCTGACTCGTCGTGGCCTCAACGGTGTAGATGGAGTCTCTGTTCTTCGTTTCCGTGGGGGTCTTGTTGATGACGATGGTGCATATTGATCTTCTAGATCAACTTCTCTCCTCGTCTGTTCAAGTTCCCACTCTATCTCTGCCTCCATGGTCTTCTTTCTAACGCGGGCCAGATCACGTTTCTCCTTCAGCTTCCGCAGTTGCGCCAGCTTCCTCCGTAGCTCCTCCTTCTCCTTTTCCGGGCTGTCTTCTTTCGCCAGCTCTCGCTCCAGCTTGAACACCTCTCCTCGTAGCTTCTCGCCCTCATCCATGCGATGTCTCCCGCATCCTTCTTCTCCTGCCACGTCAACCCATTATACCTTTGGTAGCCATTATTATAGTTATTACTATTATTGTTATTATTATTAGCAGCAGCGCGCCCGCCCGCTGCAGGCAATCTCTCGCGAAGTGGCCATCCTGGCCACACGTATAACATCCCATCTTCCACGTCTACTTAGCTAATACGTAGCGACCACCGCCCTGGGTGTCATTCCCTGTCGGTTATCACCTCAATCCTCTTACAGGATCGTAGTCTCCATACGAGTGGTCACATGCATGCATAAATCTCATACATCGGTGAAATGATATAGATAACAATTGAGTCAAAAAAGATCATACATGAAGCTCGTCCCCAATTACCATCGCCACCATCACACCGTGTGTGAGAAAAACACAGGTCATGACACGTCAGTGTCAGCCTCCACCTTCATTCCTGCGGCTTCCCCCTACGCCGCGTTTCGATCGGTTGCCAGCCGATCATCATCAGGGGGGTCC